ATTGTTGTTTGGCGGGCCTGGGCTGGGGATTCGAACCCGCCACCTTAGGTGTATGTGGCTGGCGCCTTAGCTGCTTGAGCCACAGGCGCCAAGCCCTATTTCCCCATTTCTCCCAGCAAATGCTTAGCACCAGCCACAGCCCTCCTCTTTGAGGAGGTGACAGTGCCCAGTGTCCAGGGAGGGATCTGACTGCCCTGTGGGCTCCTGTGCTGGGAGAGGGGCAAGAGGCTTCCAAAGTGCTGGTGGCTGACTGTAGCCATGCATGGCCAGCAGAGGGCATGCCTGTACCTCCTATCCCTTCAGTGCACCTTTTTTTGATAATTGATCGCCTAATTTCCTCTTTATGTGAAAGAAAGCAGATATCAAGTAATTTGCAGCAATAACCTGCTAATGCTGGGCCAGTATCAAAACTCCTCTGTTCATTTCAAGTGGCAGATAAAACGCTAATACATAATTATCCTTGCAAATTGGATTGTTTTAAATAACCAAAAGGCTACGACCAGGAGAAAGCGATCCCATCTCCCTTGAGTTACTATTGCGGCATAATTGCTCCGTTCAATCAATTTCTTTGGCATTAGAAATTCCATCACAATCAACATTAAGCTTTATTCATTGTGATGGCTAAGAGCCGGGCCATTTCTCCTCTTTTTCTTAACTGGCAAAATTAATCAGGGAAAAGATTTTAAACATTTACCCGTGCGAAAGAGGTCAGCCCTGCCACTATATTGCTCAGCAGATAAGGGGGCTAATAAAAAGAAAATTGAATTACTAATGATCACCAGGAACAGAGTATATAAAACCTGGCAATCGCCAGTTCAGGAAAAGGGAGAATCAATTTTCTTGGGACAAGGTGTGCTCATTTTTTATTTTGGCGCATATTATCAGCAATTTAATTTGAGAGTGCATAAACAGGAGGAAACAGTTAGGGAATAATGAGCCCAGAGGTGTAAAGTGCCGCAGGATATATGCTGTACACAATTTATTTGGCACAACAGATAATCGCTTTAATTGAATTCAAAACTGCATTGTTCAGCAGCCTTGTGGCCTCTCAGGCCTGGGGATGGAGAATGTTAGGAAGGTTTCCACCAGACTCCTTGGTGTCTCCCTCCCCTCTCTGACTCTCCTGCCCTCTCCAGAGTTCCCTGGGCCTGTAGGTGTTTGGGCTTAGAGTCAGACTTTGGCTGGGTGACCTCACCCCCCTTCTCCTTCCTTTTCTTTTGGGGATGGTCCACTGGTAGCTGTGGGATTAAGGTAGGAGATGCCCCCTAGAAAAGGCCCTGAGGGCCTAGGAAAGCCACTTGTGGTGGGAGCTGCAGCAGAGACCTGGCTTGATCTGTCTTCAGTGGGCCAGTGCTAGAGAGGGCATTTGGGCAAAAGGGAGGAAGATCTTTCAGGGATCTCAAAAAAGGTGTCCCATCTGTCACCTGTGTAATTGTGGTAGTCATGATCACATTGTGGCTGACAGCCACCTATGGCAGCCCCTTACTCTAGTGTGGTAGACGGGGGGGGGGGGGGGGGTGGGGGG